TATTAAGTCACACTCAGCTGCTGAGACTGTTAATCCAAATTCACCTAAATGTCCCATGAAATTTCAGTGTTCTTCTTAGCCTTTGTTCACTTGTTCCACAGACTAATCTGCTGCAGTGTGGCAGAATATACAGTATGAATGTACCAGTTCTTTCCCAGATGCAGCACAGGCCAAGTGAAAATGACAGCAGCTACACCACGAGCTCTTCAAAGTGAGACCCTGCAGGTTCTGGCTCATCAGCTGAACAGTGGTGGACTGTGAAGAACCGTTATGATGTACGAGAACCGAAAAGTCCTTTGTCATCTAAGTGGTGTAATTGTTACAGCATAACTCTTAACCTAGCTCTCATTACATAAAGTTTGAGAGGCCTGTAATTATTTGATACCAAGAACAAGTAGCAGGTCGTAATTTTTCCTTCTTGTGATTTTATGTTTAAATGTAGCTGCTGTAGTGATCAAACTTTTGAATGCACGTACACTGGACAAAACCTGCATTGCTGCTTTGGCCACAAGTAGAAACTGTTAAGGGCTAATACTGATTTGCACCTGCCCTCGTGAGTACATGGACACGGATGTGGGGCAACGTTTCTATTCATACTGCGATTCAAGGGCCTACCTGCAGCAGACCTTGAGCTAAGAACTAAAGTGTTGACGTACGCAGACGTTTTCCAAGCACTGGGTTACATGCACAGTGAGGCCTTTTTGTTGAGTAGATAGTCCACTCTTTGACCTCTTCAGTTGGATAAAATAGTTGAATAATAGTGCCAATTTTGTATCACAGCACTCTCTAACATATAGAGAAGGGACTGGAGGTGAGATAATGCATGTCAACCACCATCTCTGACAGAGAAGACCAATTTATGATCTGTGGAATCAAAGATAAGCTCATTATCACATTAAACACAAATCTTCACACTGCACAGAGAACATTATCTTATCACGTCTTTTCATCACACATGAATGTATGAAGACCGTAACACCCTCAGGGACATATTTATATTCACAACAGACAGCAGGAACACTGTGACTATTCAAGAACAGGCCTTACCCTCTGATAGGCTTGATAGATGACATCATATGTGAATCCCTGAGGCATCTCGCTGGCTCTGTATTTGGCTCGGTCCAGAGAATGATCCAGGTAGCCCTCCGATGTGGTGGCTATCACCGTCGAAACAAGAGGTCGGATAGCCCCCGCTGCCTGGGTGAGGTAAACGGCATTTAGTTTTTCCATATATGTTTTGGATAAAATCTTAAGAGTTCATAATTGGTTTTTCAGAAGTATAGTAAATGATCCGCCTCCTGGACGAGCTCTGTCAAGTCTCATCATTAGTTTCAAAGCTTCTCCCAAGTGTTAAATAAAATGATTTTGGAATCTCTCTCTCTCAAAAAAAAAGTATCATCATTTTGATGTTTGGTGGCATAATGACACAATCAGCTCACAGTTTGACTAACAATATGATGACCTTGCAATATTTTCACCAAAGTTTGACAGTAAACAAACCAAGACAGCATAAAATTCCTTACCTATTAGTCCTTAGACATATTGTGTGCAAAAACACTGTTTTCAAGTTTCACCTGTCTGACGTTTCTAATAGATTTTGTTATAGAGCTTAATGAAAAACTATTACACAAAAACATGAATAAGCTTATTGTGAAGTTTGTTTTATAAACAGATCCATATCTATATAAAAAAATTGGAAAGGAAAACCCTCAATAAGACAAATATTAAATGCCTGAAACAGGACTAATGCCGCAGTTGCCTCCCCATACACAGTGTATGTTGTCATTTAGTTGCATTTTTGTGAAGTGACATTTAGCAGTGGAACACATTCAAAGTCATTGGAAACACAGAAATATAGGTGAGCAGTCAGATGCACACAGGGAAGAATGAAATTAGGTAACGCTGTATCAACTGGCTTTGAAAAAGCATCAATTTAACCAAATCCTTGAGGTGATCACGAACTGTATATCTATATAAATGTACAGCACAGAGAGAGGAGGGGAAAGGTAAACATCCAAGGGAACATCAGAGAAATTAAGTTCTAAAATCAGTCTATTACATACAGAGTCGCTGTTTGTTGTCACAGTAGGGACCTGTCCACTGGCTAACAGTTATGTACGGTAATGTTACAAGCCTTATTGTAGGCCCACTGTGGATGAAAGTATGGAAAATGTTAACACTGTCAGTGCTTTTTGGCCTTCAAATAATCACTAATAATCAGCAATTCTCCATCCATCCATTATCTATAGCGCTTAGAGTCACTGGGAGGCCGGAGCCCATCCCGGCTGACACTGGGTGAGAGGTGTGGTACGCCCGGCTAGGGCGCCAGTCCATCACAGGGCTGACATACAGACGGACAACCCTTCACCCTCACATTCACACCTACAGGCATTTTAGAGTTATCAATTAACCTGCAAGTGTTTGCACTGTGGGTGGAAGCTAGAGGAAACTCACGCAGGCACAGGGAGAACATCCAGGCTCCACACAGACAGGTCCCAGTCGGCTGCCATGTTCAAACCTGGAGCCTTCTTGCTGTAAGGCGACAGTGCTCTCCACTGCCCCACAGTGCCACTTTATAATAAAGACTATGTGATGCAGTTGAAAGCCACTGAAAAAGCTATTAAATTAACAATGAGTTCAGATTTTCTTGCCATATAATCTTTTCATTGAAGCCAGTTTTCTGGAGCAGGCAGTAAGGGAGCGTGTGCAAGCATGTGTTCTGCATATTACACATGCTGTTAAAATCAAAATTAATCTGTTTCCTTTCAGTGCAGGACAGACCTTCTGTCATGAGCGGGGTACTGGCAAGATAACGAAGACCAGGCCGCCTGCAGTGAAAGCTCATCATAAAACAGACACACACTCAGACACATGCCATAAATGTTGGCCTTACGTCAGAGAGCTCTTGCTTTTTTCACAACCTGTTTAACCTGTATTCAACAAAGTCTCTCTCAGTATGTGAGCCTGAGACTTGAATCATCGTGAAACTGATCCGTTTCTTCATCAGAGTGGCTGTGACTTCGGCCCAAATGTTTCCCACCTATCACTGATGAAATAAACAGCACCACCAAGAGCGATGGATCTGTCAACCTAATAAACAGTATATGAAAAGATGGAGAAACCTTTGTGTGCAAGGGGAGAAGGTTCAGGTGCAATCACAAAAACCATTTGTTTTCTTTGGTCTGGAAAACTTGACTTTGCTAAGTTTTATTGTTTGCTTTGTTTATGTTCACGCCACACAGTGAGAAATGACAAATCCATAGTGCGTGCTAACGAAGGTCCCACGTTATCCCACCAGGTGAAACATCTGACTCCAGCTGCAGCTGAGTGTGATGGATTTGTTTGCACTCTGTGCTGTAATTCACCTTCTCTGGTTTTCAGCGGAAAGCATAGGAAGAAATGAAGTATGAGCCCCAGTTGAGGCTTAATTAGCAGTGCTAGCCATTCCAAGCATGACCAAATACTGGCATTTTGGGCTTGTTTCTTTGCAGAGGTATTACAGTCTTTCTCCAAACTGCTCATCTCCAGAAAATAATCATGTCCTGTCTTCATAAGATACTGGAAAAACTGACATTACACAGAGATTGCACATCTTGTAATCCCAATCATGACCTGAGGTGTGGGAAATCTAAGCTTAGAGTGAGCTTGTGTTTCTATTTCTCTGAGTCATTTTTCAAACTAATTATCAAATATTTGATGACAGTAAATTGAATATATTTGATATTATTACATTTTTTGCTGGGCTAACAAAGCTGGACATAGAATAGGCAGATTTTCTGATGTTTTTGGAAAAATTATAAACTACTAGGCAGATTAAATGATAATGAAACATCTTTAGCTGCAGCCTTATACTGTATGAGACAAAGATTTCAGCAAGTCCTTGACAAGCGAGAACCAGTGGATGTTTGGCATTTTTGCTTGACAATGCTGCGCAAGATTAATCAAGTAGCAAACTAGCTGCTGATTAAATTTATGTCGACTGACAAACTCTTCTCATCTGAACAAGGAAACCAATTTTAAAAAGTGAGCATCATCTAAAAAAAACCCTTGATATATAAGGTAAAAGCAGCAGTGTTGAAATGATTTTAGCTGCACAAGACTAAGTGTCTGTCTCTTCAAATAGCCATACACTTCAGTTAAATTAGCTTTACTGACCCCTTGTTCCTTAGCAGCCATGGCTATCTTGTATAGAAAGTCCGCCTCCACAAAAGGCCGCACAGCATCATGGATGATGACCACCTTTGGTTGGACCGCTGCGTGGCTCTCCTCCCCCTCCAGCTCACCTAAGGCCAGGACTCCGCTGCATATGGACCTGTGACGAGTGGAGCCACCTGGGACCACTCGAACCTTCCTGTGCTGGAAGCGCTGGATGATGTCGGTCATCAGGGCCATGTTTTCTTTTAGAACAACAACCACAATGCTCTGGATCCATGACACCCTGCAAGAACACACCTTCTGATTTGTAAGCTGAAATTTCAAACAGAAAAAGGGGGAGGGAGGTGTAACATAACATTCACACACAGCATTATTATATTTAGAAATTAGGGCTCCAACTAAATCTGCTTAAAAATGCCTGCTGAAAGTTTCCAGAGCAAAGCATGACATCTTCAAATGGTTTGTATTGGTCAACCAAAACTGTCATATTTAAGGAGACAAGCAAATGTTCAAAATGTTTATTTAAAGGAAAAATTTGCTATTTAACAAAATCTGCTTTCTTGTCCAGCATTACACAAGAAAATGGATACCACTCTCTAATCTGTACAGTTTAAACAAAAACTGAACATTACAAGCTCCATGATTTGTTGTTGGCTCATGCATTAAGGGTAAACTAGCGTCTACATGTGTATTCAATCAATTAAAAGCAAAAACAACCTTTATAATACATCCTGGGCAGAAAAAAACATATCTGGTCCCAGTGCCACCAGCTCTGGTTACTACATGTACTGATGACGGGTCATTTTATATACACTACAACAAAGCATCCTATTTTATGAGTTTATTTCATGTTTATGTGCACAGTAATAATAAGCAGACAGATAAACATAATAGAGCAATTTCCACTAAATGAAAATACTCAATTATGGAGTAGATCATTTAAACCTCTCGTGTAATCTGTGATTTAAAAAAAAATGATTACATGCATGAGCAGCCTGCCCTGCAAGAAATGAAGTATGAGCCCCAGGTGAGGCTTAATTAGCAGTAGTAGCCAGGCCAAGCATGACCAAATACTGGCAGACACGCTGCACGTTGGAGGAAGTCCTCATACTGAGCTGTTTGTTTCCTTATCCCGTTGTCAGTGTCCCCGCTTCCTGCATATGCTGGGCAACAGGAATTTTTTATGACATCTTATTTAACGTATTTCAGTCTTTTCCTACCTCTCGAAAGCCTGGATAGTGTAGCTTATAAGCGGTCTGCCCAGAAACGAGCAGAACTGTTTCGGTGTTTGCAGTCCGGTTCTCTCTCCGGTGCCAGCGGCTGGAAGAACCACAGACACCGGGAAGTTCACGCAGCGTTCAAACGGCTGGTGGTCGCTCTCCCCGGCCTCGCGGGGTGGGAAAATCCTAGGATATGCGGCCCTGTCCGGATCACAGATATCGCCCTCCATGTTTGTAGGATTTATTTATCTTATCATTTCACGGATAAGGGGTCACGGTAGGTCACTGACCAAAACCGTCCGTTCCCAGCTAACGGACAGTGGAGGATAACGGAAACGAGGGTGAAAATTTGGGAGACACCGTTGTCAAATTAAAAGTGCAAACACCATCTTTCCGATGCATGCTTTCAAAATAAAAGTCCCCTAAACACAAACTACTGTACGTACATGAAAGTGCAAGGAGATTATTATGGGGTAGCCCTATGTCTTTGTCTGTAATTAACTACTAAATATTGTGAGTAACATGTTTTTAACTTCTTTGCCGGTTCTATAGTGGTGAAAAACTATTTAGACTCTTAGAGTAATACTCCAAAATATTCAGTGTAAATGTCATTTAAACCTACTTTATCAAAAGCAATGGTATTTTAATGTTATGTGTTGCAAGAGGAACATATTTTATGAGCTTTTTATTAGTATTGTGAGCAAAATATTAATTTGCACACAAAACTACAACTGACAAGACATGTACTCTAGAAAAAGTACATGAAAGTTTATTTGGAATTTTAGAAACAGTACTTTGGCAAAGAATCTTAACCTTATACAGCCAAATTACACATAATACATGTTATATATTACATTGTGCATTAAAAATAATTTTCTAAAAACTTGACATTTGCTAGTGTGAAACTCATGATCCTGCAGTTATAACAATATTTTTTTTTTTATATATATCAACACCCTACAACCTATTCAGCAAGCGGTACAGGTAATGGATGGATGTTTATATCGATAATAGAAGATAGTCATTTTCTACTAGCTGACATTAGGACTGCGGTGTTGTCGTGATTTGAGTTTTAATATGAGCCCTCCTGCAGATGAAATACCGTCATACCTGGTACAGTCTCCACTGACAACATGTGGAAAAAAGTGAGATTTATTTCATATAAAGTTACTACAAGAATGACAGATGGCACAGTCTCTCCAGACTTCATCCACATGCCGACACCACTTAGACACATCATGTGTTGCCACAGAAAATATATTACATCATACATCATAAATCTAAAATTTTGTACACATGGCCATACTTCAAAAAGAAGGTACAAATGTTGTATATGTACAAGTATTTACACAAAATTTTTTGAGATGTTTGGTGTTATTTACTGGTGTCTGTGCGAACACATGCATATGGCTACATCTGGGACACTGAAGCTCAGCCTTGGGCTCCAGGAAGCTCTGCAGTCTGCACACCCCATTTCTGTTCACATTATCTTTAATCACATGGATTAAAATGTCAGAATGTTCTTTCAAGTTTTACATCATAGTGAGGAACTAGCTTCATATAAATCAGGTCCCAGTCACACTGAGAAATAATCCATAAGCTCTGGATGTCATGTCCTAGTAACACAGAGACAAAACTCCTGTAGGTTTGTGTAGATTCAGAGTCAGTCTGTGCATCTGCTGGCTCTCAGGGTTCAGTCTCGTGCCAGTTCTCACTCAGCCGGCTCTTCCCCAGCCTCCTCTTGCTCTTGGACTTGTGTTTGTGCAGGAGTTGTGGCGGTGACAGACCAGGCTCCTCGAGCTTGTTGCCTGATTCGTTGTGCTGCCTTGTGTACCTCTTGCACTTGCAGGAGGTGACCACGGTGATTCTGTAGGTTCTTGTGCTGCCGTCCTGGCACTGCAGCTGGATGCGCTGGGTGCGGGTCTTGTCATTCACGCATCGCCAGTCCTGGATGCTGCTCTGGCGACCCCAGAACCTCCTACCATTGGCGCCGCCAATCCAGTTTTGAAGCATCTGAGCTGGGAGACACTCGCCAGCACACACAAGCTCCTTGATAGGGTTGATGCTGGTACAGTGGCCATCTGAGATATACTTAGTGGATCTCAGCTCTCTGCATCCGATCTGGTTTCGTTCTGTGGGAAGACACAAAAAGTACTGTAAAAAAGCCTGTTATACTCACAGCCCAAGGTGACAGGAATCAGCTGTCCTGTTTGGTTTGACCGATAGTCCAAAACTTAGATATTCAGCTAATAATCATGTATGAAAAAAAAAAAAAAATTCAGAAAATCCTCACACTGAAAATCTGAAACAAAAGAATGTTTGGTATTTTTGTTTAGGAATTACTTCATGGACAGATCATCAATCAATAAAAAAAAACTGTTTAGCACTTGTTCAGATGACAAAATGGCATTTTACAGTAACCAAGTGTGTTTCGTTCACCATAATATCGATGAGTTAATATATTATAATACCGGGGTACTACCCAGACTGGGCATTATATCAGTTATGTGCCCATTTACAGGAATAAGCGCAATAGCGTCTTGACCTGTCTACTTTAAAGAGTTGAGGATTTATTGCACTGAGAAAAATAAACAAATTTTTACCAGAGAAGCAGCAGCAAAATAAAATCTGCAGCAATCACCTTTATTCTGCCGTAGGCTACAAACACCGTCACCCTGCTCTCCCCTCCACCACTGTAACCCAAGCTCAAGTCCATTCATACAGCTCCATACACCTCAGTGACAATAACCCCGCCCTCACCATCTCTGTGACAGTGTTTGATGAATGAACAGGGGTGAGTTCCCGCCTCCCTCTCTCTCTCATACTCCCTTGTCCCTTTCTTCCTTCAAGGCTGTTGTAAGAGCCTCCATTCAGGTAGAGTGACACCCAGTCGGCTGCTCGCCCTGTTGGAGTCTCTCATCCCTGCTTGGACCACAGCCAGGCAGGAGTAGGATAGTTACACTGAGTATGTGATGATGTGTAGTGATGGGCAGGGACACAGTCTTTGCCAAGACTCTTGATTACAGGAGCAGAGCCACTGAGGTTTGTGCTCAGATTATACTATCACATGGGCCTCATAATGTCTATCCAAGGCTACGCCAAGTTTACTGTGTCATAATTTACTTTATGGACTTTGTCCAAAGAAATGCAGGTTAGATATAGTGACTGTAAACTGCCTGCATGAATGTGAAGTTGTTGGTCTCTGTGTGTCAGTCTGTGACAGACTGGTGACCTGTCCGGGGTGTACGCCGCTTCTCACATACTGGCTCCAGCCTCCACCCCTGCTTTCTGCAACCCATCAAGGAGAAGCACTAAAGCTAACAGATGGCTGGAAGTTGTTTTTTTTTTACACTATTCTACAACAGTAGAGGCTTTTTTAACTAGAATCTGTATATTATGTATTAAGTGTTTTATGATAAATGTAGTCTATAATGTATTTTCAGAAATGCAGAGACAAATATGCTAACTAGAATTAAAATGAAAATGGACTAAGTGGCTGAATAAAAAGTGCATCAATGTAAAGGATGTGGAAGACAAAATGAGACATTAGATGCTTAAACTTGAAATTTATCTCCAGACCTTTAGGCTGCTTGGGCTGAAAAATATTATACAAGTGTATTATATTATATAAACTATTTAAAAATGAAAGTGGAAATGGGACCCGGGGAATTGCATGTTCTCCTTGTTTTGTTTTCTGTTCTGTTATTCACAAACTAGGACAATATAAATCAAAGTATTTAAATATCATGACTGCGCAAATAAACCCAGGTTGGAAACAAAACAATTAGTAAACAGCATAAAGGTTTTAAAATTCAACTCAGTGCAGAACAGTGTAGGTAGGCTGAACACTCTAGACGTGCCACAGAGGACCGACCCACTGACAACCCAGTCAATGACAAAGCACCAGAGCATCCCCCGGTGTTTCCTTTCACTCACCGCCTTTGTCGTGCTCCGCGCCGCCCGCTCCTCTCCCGCCGCTCCGTGCGCGGTTCAGGGACACATTGCTCTGAACCTCGGGCGCCGGCGCGCTGACATGCGAGAACAGGAGCTCCGTGGCGTCGTTCTTGAAAGCTTGGCAACTCCGCAGAAGGATGCAAAGCAAGAACAGGGAATGGCAGGAGTCGTACGCGCTCAGGTGCATGGTTGGTGTCTGTGAGCGGGCGTGTGAGGTGCAGGTCCGACCGGGGGAGGCTGCTGCTGGCTGCACTGCGTGTGAGTCCCCGCAGGCCGCTGGTTTTATACAGTCTCTCGCTTTGGCAGCCCCTCAGGTGCGTCTCTGCTGTGAGGCTCTGATTGGTCGCCACCTATGTACTCCCGTAATATAACCCCGCCTATGCTTTCATTTTGGGGGTGTTCAGATGTGATCCTGGATGCTGGAGAGGAAGCCCTATGATAACGATGCCTGAGTTTTTGGTTTAATTTATTGACAACATTAACGTACTTATAAAAACAATAAGACTTTGTCTTGGATCAAATTATAAGTCTTGAAATATTATATCAAATTGTTGTGCCTGGTGTTTTCACAGTCAGTCCACCAGCCTTTATCAAGATAAAGAAAGGCATTCAGTGCTGTTACCAAGAACTAGAAAACTGAACCATGAGCCATTGCTACAATATTTCAGGAGGAAGACGGGATAAACTTGGGAATTAATTCTTTTAGACAAATTTCAACATCACCCACTTCAGATTAATTCATATTTATTACTGTGTTGATCTAAATCTTTGGAATGAGACATTAGAGAAGTGGTTTGGTAGAATACGTCGTACAAAAGGCAGGAAAGAAAAACACAATAGAGGCACCACCAACAAAACAAACATACAAAAATTCAAACAGTGATTTAGTACATGAGGTTATTTTCAAAAGCCAAAAAATTCTGATTAGATCCCAGGTAGACTTTAGTTTATGGTCTATATTAGTGTTATCTAAATGCAGTAGTTTCACAGTAAACAAGGCCAAAAGTATTTTGCAGTCAAAAAACATGAAATCACACTTTATTCCCTCTGGAATTAAAAAAAAGGTCTTTTCAAATGCAACTCAACAAACATCTGGATCTACATTGATCCAGATTTGACAGCTAAACATCAGCTTCCAAAACTGCCATACATCAGATTTGAATGCAGACAATAAAGCCAAATATGTGTTGGCTTAACTTTGGTGAACTTGTTCTGACTGTTGTTCTTCAGGGCTGGATGCTGTTGTGATCCTGCGTGGTGATAAACAGCCTCGGCTTTCAGTGACTCCTGCTGTTCTGACTTGGATTTTAGATATTCCTTTTCATTATGGAAACTCTGGGTTGTTTGGTTTGTGCTACTGTGGCATCTCGCTCTTCTCATCCTTCTGGTTTTCATATACACTGGAACTTTTGTGCCGTCCTTTTCAATTTCGCAAGCGCTCAGATGAAAGTGTGCATGCCTGCCTGTCTGATCACATGCAAATATCATTTGGCTAAATGTGCTGCGGCTGATCACGTATGCAAAATAAAAGTACTGTGGTGTAATGCACCGCCGTTTCTCTATGAGGTGAAAACTTTGCATCTCCAGATTTGTTTCAGACCAGGTAAAAAAGGAGGAAAGAAGCAAACAAGACAAAAAAACAAAATGCCAGAAAATGTTATATCTGCCCCAAATGAAATTCCAGCATTAAATAATTGTTCTGTGCATCTGGAAAAGAGATTGTACAGTTTGTTATGTAAGGCCATTCAATAAACACAATCAAATTAAGAGTAAATACTGCAAAGTGAATAAATGTCTTACATACAATTACCTAATTTTGTGACTGAAGTTTCCAGTTTTAAGTCTTAGTTTCCAAGCATTGGTGAGACATGTGGTGGCCGTTTCCTTCTTGATAAAGGTTGGTGGGCTGTAAAAACACGAGGGATGATGACTGGAAATAGGTTTAAGACAGTTTTGTTTAATGCCTAACAAAAGCCTCATAGGTGTATCTTTTGTGAAATGTTTCAGTAAACCAGATCACGTCAGCAAAGCCAGAAACCAGATGAGTCTGTTGTCCTGTGTCACAAATTATAGAAAGCATTCCAAACATTACTTGTGGCTCATTTTTCATCTTCAGTGGTGATGGACCATTAATCGTGCATGTGCACACAGCTGACCGTTGAAAACAGCACATCATGTTGTACCTTCTGGTCGGTTTCTCCTGTTGGATATTCTCTACACTGCCACACACGTTTAATTGAGGCATGAAAGCTGATATTGTCTGTGTGCAATTTGCTGTCTGTCCTGCCTCAGCCTACCTCTCAGTCTCTGTCAGTTACACATCTGATAATCAAGTGACCAGACTAACTGGAGTCTCGCTGTGTGTGCTGTACAAAACAAGGGGAGATATCATTACTTTTGTGGGGAACATTCAATCCAGGCTCATCTTACTGATTTGAAAAGCGGCGTCATGCAGAGACCCTAATTGTTGCTCATGTGAATGAAAGCGGATACACAGATCACGTGCCTGCTTTATTACCACACGAGCACGTTTCAGGATGGAAAATGTAGTAGGCCTGAGGTTATGGCTTTAATCACAGGTGGAGGGAATTCAGCCACACCACAGTAGTAACAAGAGAGAACATTTAGGAGAAAAGACAGACATTTGTGAAATTTACTCAAGTATTCAAAGCAGTCTATGTGAAGCTTCTGATTCTGTGGTAATTTAAACGTGACAAACTTCCCATTATGGTTATTTGTTCGATTTCAGGTGAGGAGTAAAGGAAAAAATAAAGAAATAATTTATAAAAAAAGAAAAGAAAACAAGAACAGAAAGGCTGAAACTGAAAGAAAGGGGGATGAGCAGAGAAAGGAAGGTAGGAAGGGTATAAGAAAAATTAGGAAAGAAATAGGGCACAAAAGGAAATAATGTGGGGGAAGTAAGGGAAATGGGAAGAACCATGAAGAAAGACAAAGGTGTGGGAAGGACAGAAGGAAGGGAGAACAAATCAATAAAGAGAAAAGAATAGAAATAATAAAGGAGACGAGAAGAAAAATAAGGAACAGAAAGAAAGGAGGAAATAAATTATGAAGGATCAAGTAGCGATGCACTACATGGCCAAAACTGTGTGGACACAAGTGTCAACTTACATTTGTCTATTTGAAACAATTTTTTGGTGTCAGTCCCTCAACTCCAGTGAAGGAAACGCTTGATGCTACATAGGCAGTGTTATTTATAACAACAGTGTTCTTTCTGCTTTGTGTCAGCAGTTTGTGTCTGTCCCTCTCCCGTCTGATTTTCACAGCCTGGTTTGCCTGCAGGGCCCTGACCTGCACCCCGTCCAACACCTTTGGGATGAGCTGCACATCAGAGCAGGAGCCAGGTCTTATCACTCAGCATCATTGTGGACCTCACTAATGCTCCCAGGGCTGAAGGGAGAAAGTCCCAGCAGCCAGCTTCTAAATTCTGGTGAAAAGTCTGAAACAAGTAAGTGGAGGCAGTTACAGCAGCTGTGAAACAGGATGGTTGTAATGTCCACATAGTGTTTTAGGAGCTAATTTCATATTGAATAAAAAGTGACCATTCACTGAGTCTGGTTACAGCTGATACACCTGTCAAGCTTTCAGATTCTGTACATCACAAATGAAGTTTACAGTAACAGTGGCAGATTTAAGACTTCAAATTCTTAGTCATTTCTGAAACTATGGATATTAGTTTTCACACTGACAAAGACAAAAGCAGGGGTATTTCTTACTGTTGGAAAGATTTTGCTGAAGAAATGTCAGCTGTTGTTGGCAGATTTGATCAGCTTAAGCTAGCATTAAATCCATGAAGTCGTTGAAATCGCTGTGTGTGGCAGACGTTCACATGTTTGGTGACTGTAGCTATTTAAGCTAGGGACAGAGCAACCACACTGAATCAGAATCAGCTTTACTGGCCAAGTATGTTGGTGACACAAAGAGTGTGACTCCTGTCCAGTGGCTCTCTGTGTGCTTTAGTAAGACAACTATAAATATGTGCATTGAAGTACAGATGAGAACAGTCTGCTCATTTTAGCCTAAACTCTGATAGCATCCTAGCCCTATAAAACCATTTGTATCATATTTGATACGTGAGGTTTCTGAGCAAAAACAAAATCACCAAAAATGCCCCATGTATCAAATGTGATACAAAAGAAATAGAAATAATCTAAATAATATGGCACCTCTATTCCTTTATGTCTGGACTGTCTGTCTATGCATATATGGCAAATAAAAATTGTGAATCTTGAATTTTGAATCATGAATTATATTTGGGATTTTGTTAAAAGGTTTAATAAACATCTCAGTTCCAAAGAATTAGAATGTTCTGGCTATTTTTTTTTTTTTGATATGTTGGGCTTTACAGGGCTAGATTTGTGAGGAAATGCTTCACAGTGGGTGGGCTATTTGCATCACAAGTAACAAGAACCATACCTGGGTAAATGTAATTGTTCCATCCCTTCAGCAGGTGAAGCAAGTCTGTCATTAAACTACACTCAGATTCTGTTATTGTTTCCTCTGTCTCTTGTTGTTTTTTCCTCAAACAGCGACACCAGAGACCCACTCATTTCACTTCTGAGAGAAAATCCAGGACAACACAGCCAGCTCTTCTCAGAGGACTATTTACGCTTCGACGCCCCTCTGAGCTTCTCGTGGGACCGGATTAAATGAATGTTGAAAAGTGAATATGATACACCCTGGCTTTTGTGCTCTCACTTTGTATAGAAGCTGAAGGCTTAAAGCCGACTGCCTCTCTGGGCATAGTGAAGCTAGTTGCCCCTAACCTTCATGGGAAATAAAAGGTGGCTGGGTTAAAAGCATTTTGACAAGCAGCATGGCAGGAGTGTGTTCCTGGTCAGGATGCACCAATATACACCAACAGGAGGTGTATACAAAACCTGGAACAAAGCCAAGAAACAGAGGTCAGCATGCCAACAGATCCCAGCAGAGAGGAACAATAGACAGACGGTCCTGTTCTGTTGTTACCACTCTACTCTCTATATTCATGTCTGGCACTTGTGCTATAGTTACAAACCAACACATGCATGCTGCTTTCAAGTACTGAAACTTATTAAGAGGCTGAATGCACAACACAGAGCTACTGTACATATAAATAAAATGGCGGTATATTTGACGCAGTAATTTCAATTTATCAGCTTTTTCTGGAGTTTTCCAACACATCTCATGGTCTTCATCTGCTAATAGAACTGGACCAAGGATCATCAGTCACGAAAAGCACTCCGACTTAATAAAAGTAGAAATTCTACAGTGTAGAAATACTCATTTAAAAGTAATAAATTTTACTAGGTGGATGGATTTTTACAAATTTTTGATAAATGCAGACTGTTTCCCCCTGCTCCCAGGCTTTATGCTAAGATAATCCTGTAGCTCCATATGTGATGCACAGATGTTACAAGTAAATACAGTTGTTGGTTAAATGTTATGGAACAAAACAGTTTTACTCTAAATTACGGGGACCATATAGGAAAGGATTCATTTCAAAGGACTGAACTCACTGATTTTACTCATATTCTGCTCCTGTATTTTGTTGAAATCAGCTGGAATAAAATTTGAAAGCTTTTGGACCCCCACTGCTCATAGTTAGGAACTAGAAAATAAATAAACCTAAAAAAGGTCATAAATAATAATAATAAAAATAACCAAAACCTTGTGGATTTTTGTGAAACATTGCCCTCTGCTGGACATCTGCCTCCCCTGCGGGAGAAGGATGTGAAGATTTTTCATCACTAATTAAGGTGCAGCTTTATCTCCCACACTGACACTTTTAAACCACTTGTTACTTTTTATTTGCAACTTCATCTTCTCCTGTCTAAACACAGGATATAAAGGACGCTCTGCAGAAATGTGGAATAAGGAGGGATGTTGATGTTTCCCAACCTCTACAGTTTTTGCTATTTTGCTGAGCAGAGAATTCACAAGTGTCCCTAACAAGGTTTCACTTTCTGAGGAAGCTGTGGCTGAATAACCACAAAGTAGCTCCTGTAACACTTCATGTAAATCAACAACAGGCTGATGTTTTAAAGTTTACACTGAGTGGAAAACTGATCCATTTCTATTTTGATTTTTTTCCGACCAGAGAGCTCAGCTACCGTTCTCTAAACCACTGCTTGACTGAACTTTACCTTCACGACAATATCAAGTCTGTTATAGATAAATCTTGGTTTCTTGTTCTTGCCTTCCTCGACCATTAAAGACATCCTTGAATAGAGCCTTAAAATACTTAAATTTCTTTAGTAGTACATATATTTTATAGATGTTGTTACAATCCCTGCTTGTTGTTGTCAGGCTTCACTAGAAGACATAATGCTCTTTGAACACAAAAACACTGAAACTTTCATTGTAATAGTAAAACTCCTGCATTCAAAATCCAAAAGTACAGCAATACTATCAACAATGTGTGTAAATGTGATGGGTTGTGACATGACTGAGGCTGGAAAGCAGAAAAAAAAATGTCATTACACATTTCTCTAATCTTTGCTTTTTGTAAAATACATTTTGATTCTCTTTAAGCCTCAAAACATGATTCACTATAAATGAAACAATTTCAGAAGTTTAGAATAAAAATGCATCTTTGGCAAAACCCAAGAGACATCTGAAATTTGTCAAAGGCCTCCAACCAAACACCGTTTTCTATAAAGAGATCACCAGACAGGTTTGAATCCACTGGTTTAATCTTCAACACACTATTTATATGTTTTTAACAACTACAGTTTCAGATAAATGTTGTGGAGTTGTTCAAGTTTACGGGAAGTTACCTTTGTTGCCTTTCCCTCAGGTATAAAGTTGTGTAGGAAGATGAAAAGCACACACACCCCAGATGAATGAAACAACAGGTATCTACTGTAGGTCCTCCCTGGTCTCTCAAACAGCGGCCCTGAATCATCTGACCTGCCTCTGACTCAAGGTGCTCGAGTTACCCAGAGACACCACGATAAGACACTGGTTTGTCGAAAGCTTTTTTCACTGCACTGAGCAGGACAAACTTAAGGTAAACCTGCAGTAACTATGTTTTGGTTACTCTGGGCAGCAGAAACAAGTAGAATGAAGAGCATAATGATAAAATATGAAACTCTCCAAAAATCAATGAAGTTGGTCTTTAATGTGATTAATATTAAAAACTGTTGGACATACTGGAAGTCATCAGTGTTCAGGACAAACCAATCAAAGTTTGACTTCAGTGCCTCTGTCCATTCAGGCTGCACAGTAACTGAAACAGTATCAAAACCATAAGCACTGATCATTTTCAAACCAACTTGTTTCTATGCTTGATCAATAAATAATTTTACCTGTTGGGGGGAAAAAAAAAACTTTCATTTTATTACAATTTAAGCTGTTCATATTTAAAACTATACATTTTTGGTCACAAGTGGCATGGTGATGCAGTGGTTAGTGCTGTCGCCTCACAGCAGGAAGGTTCCAGGTTTGAACCCCAGCCGACCTGGGGCCTTTCTCTCCGGAGTCTGCATGTTCTCCCTGTGCCTGTGTGGATTCTCTCCAGGTACTCCAGCTTCCTCCCACAGTCCCAAGACCTGCAGCTTATGTTGATTGGTGATTCTAAATTGCCCATAGGAGTGAGTGTGAGTGTGTGTGGTTGTCTGTCTACATGTCAGCCCTGTGACAGACTGGTGACCTGTCCAGGGTGGACCCCGCCTCTCACCAAATGTCAGCTGGGATTGGCTCCAGCCCCCCCACAACCGTCATTATGATAAGCAGTATAGATAAAGGGTGAATAGATTTTTGGTCAGTATTGTGCAGCCGTGCTACCCACTCACACTGTACCATCAGCAGGCGTTCCAGTAACAAATCACATGTACTGTCAATAAATAGTCACTTCTTTCCTGCACAAGTTGCTACAGTTCCTTAAGGCAGAATCACATTCCATTACTGATGTGAACTATTAGCTCTTCACATATTTCCCACAATTCCTCCCAGTAACTTCCACAGAAACACACTAGACTACACAGGTTTCACATTCACATGACATCATCTGAAGAATTAATATTTAACAAAGACAAAACGATGACCGCTGTGACACAAACCTTCCTCTGATGGTTCAGTGCCACCTTGCCTTCGTGACAGTCTCAGGTTCATAATAACTATGAGGTGTTGTCGCCTGCTGGACCAGTCCTTGTCTGGCTTTCTGACTCTACCGCATTTTTCTGGAGGTGGAGGAGGTGGTCGCTGACCTCAACTGTCAGATGTTCCTCAGTTGCCAGCAGCTGGGGTGGATGTGGGGCTTGAGGTTTCTGCTGCAGTGTCTGAGGAGGTGGTCTCCCTGCCGGTCTCCAGTGAGAGCTCCTGCATGGAGTCTGTGGCCTCCTGTTCTTTACTCTCTGAAACACAAATACGGCCTTGTTACTGTAGGCCACACCTTTCCTTTACACTGGCAGCAACACAATCAACAAACCGCTTTAGGTTGTGGATAACCTCATGTTAGTTTAAAGGACTTTGAATGCAACATGATCAAGAAAATGATTTATACAAAGAAGCTTTGATGAGATTTAAAATTCAGGCTTACAGCACATCATTCCAATAGATTTTTAAGACTCCTCCTTTTACACACTCACCAAAGAACACAATGATTTTTTTTAAGAAAAAGTTGACAAATTAAAACCAATTTCACTTGGATTTTAGATCCCACTGCATCTCAGCATTTCTGTTGCTCACTGCTCAAAGACACTGATGACAGCAGTTTGAAGTAAACACAGTGCACCAGAAAGCACTAACATTAACAGAACGTTCAGAAAAAATCTGGAGAAAATGCTAATGAGCTGATAATTATGTGGTAGATTTCCTCCAAGTACACACACACACACACACACACACACACACACACAGTAATGATTAAACTGCTATATTTGTCTTTTGTTTGTTTGTTATTTTACAGATTTTTCAAACAGGACTGAAAAAAAATCACAACTGATTCACAATTCCTGGAATACTGAGCTTTACTGTACATATTTTGTATTTCCAATTCAAAAAAAGGCATCCACAGAATTATAGGTCAAAATAGTTAACACATTTTTTAAATCTTATTTTTTTTAAATTTCATATACTTGCTGGTAAAAATGGCCTTCTTATAAAACAGTGCTGGCCTATCTGTGTTTATTATGAAGCAGTAACCTCTTATCATGTAACATATTTTGGATGATGCTCTGCCTGAGTGTGGTGAGTGTCTCTGCTGAGGTGCTTTATTCTCTTTCATATTTCACCTCCTACGTCGCTGAAGTACCTTTATTTTGCTGCATCCGCAGTTTGGCTGATTCTGTATCTTGCTTCTCTCTCAGCTCTTGGAGGTTCTTACAAACTTTCTTGTGGGTGAACCAGTGCATCTTCTGGCAGGTTTGGTTGCAGTAGATCACCTGGTGGAAAAAAGTTTACAGTTTGTTTATGTAGATAAAAGACAACTGTTACCAGCTGAAAATGGCCAAGAATGAATAAGTATTTGTTAATATCATCTTAATTCTTCTGTCAGAGATACACTGTTCAGTTTTCTGATGAGAAGTTACAGCCCAAAAATAATTTGATGATTTTTTTTTGGCATGTATTGAAAAGTCTCCATTGTTCTATGTATAGATTGATATATTGCTGTAGTTCAGACATTCACCATTTTACAGATGGAACATCTCTTCTCAGCTCCTTTCTCTCCACAGGAGGTGCAAAACTCGGCGTCCATGAAGCCGACTTGACCTGTGATGGCCTGAGTCAGCACCGACAGAGCTGTGGGGTCATTGCCCTGAAAAGGCAAACACCAAAACATTAAACACGCCAAGGCTTGCACTTAAATGGACAGTGAATCATGTCTTTAAGAACAACAGTGATTCTGCTTTCATCCAATCACCAAACATTCACAAAACATAAAGTCGATCATTTTCAGATCGACTGAGATGTGATAAGGATGGGTATACTGGATTTGATCATTTTCAAATTGACTGTGATGTGATAAGGATGGGTATACTGGATTTAAACAGACTGCTACTGCGCATAATCATCTCTACACAGTTTTCATTCATTCATCCAGACTTACAATCTCCACAGGAGCGACGCTTCGCACTAGCTGCTGCAGCAGAGTGGCGTCACAGTAAGGGAACTTGCGAATGCACTCTCTGATAAACTTCTCCTGATACATCGGGAAGCCATCGCTATCCCGGCCCTTCAGCAAACTGCAGCAAAGGGATCAGGAAAACTTTCACTATGGAAAAGCACCTATGTTATGATAAAAGGCATTTCAGTGGAGCTTCACTCGGGCTCCTCTCACTCTTCTCTTGTTGAGTCATTGACAACAATGACAAATAATCCACTGTGCCTACTCCTGCATTACAATCTACCAAAAATGCTCTCAGAAGTAAAGTTGGAGCCATCAGACTGACAACACTAACAAAGACAGACATTCCACAAATATTAAACCCCAAGACATTTAAAAGTGGCTTCAAAAATACAAAACAACAATTTACCTCTCCCTAATATAAAATAATAAACTGGACATTTACATTTAAAATGAACAGATTCTCACACAACACAACATCACACGTGGCCACACCTCTTGATGAGGCCGTCTAGCTTGTCCTCACGGTCCTTGAGGAAGGAGGCGCACTTCCCCAACACACAGCTGATGTAGTGCATCTTCATGGCCAGCACCTCGTTCATGTCCTGCTGCTTGATGCATTTCTCACAGATAAGCTCCATCACCCGACGGCATTTGTCCAGCGCCTCCACTTCTGCCAACAGGGGGTTCTCCTTCACCAGCATCACCATCTGGACAGCACAAGACATATTTATTTCCATTTTTTAATGTAGTTTTTCAAAATAAAACATGTCTGGTGATGTGTATGTCATGGTATTGTGTTGTTTGTTCATCTGCTGTTCTTTCCGTTAATTTTACTTATCAACTGCAAATTTGGGGACAACTATTATTTGCCTTTATGGCAGGGGCCCATAATACATTTCCGGTGCAAAATGTAATGCTTTAAATTTTAAGATGCATGAATATTGAGGGCTTTCTTTTCTTAGCTGCAGTTCTCCAGTTTAAAAAAACAAAAACATTGCCTTCTTTTCTTGGGTCTTCTCCTGGATTAACAACAGACCACAAGCACCAAAGTACAGCCACCTAATTAAGACGGAGACCTGTTCAGATTCTTATTCAGGTGTTTGATCAGTCCCAGATTCATTCTGCAGCCTGACAATGAGCCCAAACTTCTAGTCAGAGCCATCAAGAGCTATGTTCAGAGGCAAGAAGAACAGGGAGTCCTGCAACAGATGGTCTGGCCCCCACAGAGCCCTGGTCTTAACATCATGGTTGTGGTCATCGTGCTAAAAAGGAGCTTAGCCAACTTAGCTAGCAGGCAGAACTGAGAGCGTCTGAGCAACAAACAGACTCTAAAAGTTCACACCACACCTGCTGGTGATACAGTAACATCTGCAGTGTATCCTTGACACAAATAACACCCCATTGATATCTGTTGTGCATAATAGAGCATGCTGGTTTACAGTCCAGCCAAAGGTTCACAGGTAACTTTATTATCCCAGAGGGGCAATTTGTATGCAGCCAAGAGCACCATCACAACAAACAATCATAACACAGTTCAAACATAACACAATGCAAAACCCACCTCTTACAAAGGGCGCATTATATCCAGTCCCATCGTGCCATCACTGGCCATCCTATAATACAGTTCAGGCCAGTCCCTACATGTGCCAGACCCTCTCTGTCCATACTACTGCAGCCTTAGCATTACCCAGAATTCAAGAGATCAATTGCCATTGGTACCATAGAATTTTTAAGTCGATTTGTCCTACATTAAGGGATGGCACAAGTTCATCCTGACAGAAACATCACAAACTGACCAAAGACAGGGTGACTAGGATGTGCCAAGACTGACCTAGCCTTCCCCAGAAAACACAACTTATACAAGCAAGCTAAATTATTAAGGGGACTATTCACAATCTTGCTGCACGTCTTGACAATCTTTTGCAAACTGTTCTTGTTTGCCAGAGTAAGAGGCCTGAACCAGCAACCAATCATGGCAGCAGCTGATTACTTCTCTGATTACTTATATCTTCATTCCATGGAGGAATATAATCAGTGAAACAGGCTGCTGTTGTGTTTGGATGAAGAACCACTCACACAGATGAGAAACATTTCTGTATCATTACAGTTATCCAGAGAGTGGAGGTGGAATGAACAAATGGATAAATCGTTTCTTTGAGCATAAAGAAATGCTCAAAGAGCATTTGAGCATGTCTCATCCAGACATCAGAGGATGGTTGGATGAGGGAGCTGCTGGGCTGTGGGTTGGAGTCCTGACCCAAGACTCTGCCTCTGAACACTTTACTCCACAATGTCTACATTACTGCATCTTTCAACACTCAGCGGTGTCCTATACCTTGACAGGATTCAGGTTGGTGCTCATGATGATCTTGTGGAGGGGTCCAGCCAGTTTGGGTGGCAGTTTGGGTTCCTTCTCCAAACCCTGAGGCTTGGTGTAGTAATCCAGTCTGGCACGGGAAAAGAAATTGTTGATCACCGTGACACAGTCATGCTGCCCTGAAGGGGGAGAAGAGGAGGCACATGTTTATGCTTAGTCAGAGCAAGGTACTCTTTATGTAACAGTAGACACCAAAGTAACCACTTTGTGTCATTCAAAACCAATTCATGCCTTAAAACCTTGGTCCTCTTCACCAACTTTGGGCCCATTGGAGCCTGACAAACCTTTGTTCTGAATATGTTTGATTTGGTCAGTACATGCAATCTGTGTGGTGTTGTGGAAGTTTAGCTTAGAGACATGAATAGAGGCCAGATTTAACAACTCTGAAGTCCAGGTGTCAAAAAAATATCAAAAATAACTCCAATTGCATTATCAAACAAAAGTGTGGTGATGGTGTGATTTGATTTGGTCTGATGAAGTGATGAAGATTTAAATACTGACTAAGGTCATTACAATGGGCGCTAATCTTTGGCTAATCTGAAGCATCCACACGTGTCCGGTTACTAGACATTTCCTATATTATTATTAGGGTTGTCAAAGTTAACATGGTAATAGTGAGTTAACGACAATTTTTTTAGCAATTAATGCACACATATTCTGTGATTAAGACCCTCAGCTCACCCCATAGTTTGGGAAATCAGAAGACGATGCAGCAGCAGAAATGGAAACAAAGGAAGAAGGAAAGAAAGAAAGAACTTGAAATGGCTTCTTTTTAGTAATAAAGGCATACACAAGGGAAAATAAACCCAGAGATCTATATAGAGAACTGAATCAGAAGAAAAAATACATTCAAATTTCTGTTTAAGGTAAAAAAAAAAAAAAAGCTATACAGTATAATGTTATCTTGAATGACCCTTCAAAATACATCAGTTACTTAAGTGTAAACCACTGCCACATTTGATGAAAACAAGTGAACGTATCTATGTGATAAATGTGTTGCAGAATATAATGAATCAGTGTTTCTGACAGACAAAGAAGCAGTGTGTCATCCTTCATCTTTATATATATGATAATACATAACATAAGAACCCTTGACTCTTGTGGAAATGAGCACACACAGAGTCACATTCAGACGCACCAACAAAGGCGGCCATTTGTGCCGCAGTCCTTCCGACAGAGTTGACGACGTCTGTCTCCGCCCCCGCGTCCAACATCATCCACGTGATATCAGTCTTCCCTGCAGGCACAGAAGAAGATTCACAGCACTCACAGAGAAGGGCATTCTCAAACAACAGAGCTGAGACATTTGCTGTGATGATCCACTCTAACATCTTAAATCTTTCACCTATTACATTTATACCATACCTGACAGGCCGGCAAACATCAGTGCTGTGTATCCATGTTCATGTTCATTACAATTCACATCCGCTCCATGCTGCAGCAGCAACTTGCACATGTCTGCTTTTCCTTTGTAAGCAGCATGCATGAGAGGGGTCATCCCGTACTGTGGGTGAGACAACAAGGCTGAGCAAAGCTGTGCACTTTACATGCACCATTTCATTTGTCATTAGTAAAAATTAGGGAAGAAAAAAGTAAATACATAAACATAGTTTATTCATGAACACAAGTAAATACTTGTGTTCATGAATAAACTATGTTTATTAAAACCATAAACAAAAATACTTGAAAGCATCATAACATCTTGGGTGCTGCTTATGATCCTGATGGTCTCAATACAGAATTCTTATTGTCAATTCTTTCTCATTCTCAATTTCTAATTTCTTTTTCCTGCTGTCCTAATTACCACTAGGTATTATATGTACTGTAATAATTATATCATAAATATTCTGTCAGCTTAATAAATACCAGTATGAACTTACACAGATTTAAAAAAAATTAGGGATCATTCAGATCACCAGTCTATCACAGGCCTAACACTTAGCGACAGACACCCACATTCACTCCTACGGGCAATTTAGAGACGCAAGTCAAGCTAAGATGTAAACAACACACATGGTGTTTTGTGTGTATAACTTAAACAAACTGCCTTGAAAAAGCACAAAGTCTCCTGACATGTGTTAGGACAAATTAAGGTTATCATCTGTGTCCCCTGTTAGAAATGTTCTGTTACCTCGTCCAAACAGTTGACTCGTACATCCTTACAGCCCAGAAGCCTTGATGCTTCTTGAACATTTCCTAAAAACACAACAATCAATACCACTGCAGTAACCTTACACATACTACATCAAGGTAAGCATCAGTTTATGCAACATAAGAGAATTAACCCCCCTCTTTATTACTGAGATGTCTTTAAAGACCTTACAGTGGGTGGGTGACAAATTATAACGTAATTGTTACACAATATATATTATTTATGAATTTACAGTGCAAACACTTATACAAACATAAAGTTAGAACAATTCATGTTACCCTGCAAGTTTAAGCCAATATGTTCAGAATATTAAAGACCACAAGCTATCACAGTAACTAAGCTACTCATGAATACATTATTAGCATTTAGCTAACGCCATTTGCTACCAATCCCTGCCAACAAACAGCCCTTTAAATTAATTAGCATTTAACAGCAAAGGTAGCGAGCAGAAAAAGAGTTAAATGGCCATTAATCGGCATTATTACGTAACTCAATACAAGCTAACGAGGGATAACGCTTATATGTGTTCTACAAAGATTAGCGTTAGCCCAAGAGGTTTACCTGCAGTAATAGCGGCAAACAGCTCCTTTTCGCTTGAAGTCAAGTCTCCCCTCTTAGGAGCAGACATGCTGGTGATTGCTGTTATATAATTAAACTATAACGACAAAAATAAAACACAAAATTCTTGACAAAAACAAACGTTCCAGTAGCTCTAATTAGCTCCTAATACACAGGCATGGACTAGCTCAGGTCAATCTGGCCGTCATTCTTCCTTCTTCTTCTTCAGCTGTTTTTAATGGCGGTTGGCAACCATCTTTAGGTGCATTACCGCCACCTTCCGGACTGGAGGATCAGAACGGCCCCTACCTACTACCACACCAAAAGCTGGTCACTGTGTACTATCAGCAGGGGTGTGGTAAGTTACAGGCAAAAAATACTTCAGCATTTACTCTAGCAGATCGAAAAGATTCTACAAATAAGAAAACTACAATACATTAAAAAATATATTCTTAATAAAGCTAATTAATTAGAGGGGATATTTTAATATTTCTCCAATATCATAACTGATTCTAACACCATTTTATTACATTGAAATTATGTGTTCCATTGGAGTCTAGATAGTTCATTCAGAAGTGCTAGTGGTTCACAGGACCACAAGGGAAAAGACGTGAAAAGGATGTCTGGCTGTATTTGCATCTATATTTAAGTTGATAAACTTTGTTTTCTGGGTGTCACAGTAAAACAGATACATTTTACATGTTATTAATTGAAGGGGAAGGCTAAACTTACAAAACAATGGTGGAAAGTTAATAAATGCATCAGGTCTGGATCACTAACAGCCTTAAAGCCACTCTATACCATTACTGACCTCATGGGGGGCAAGGAGCCAAAAAGTTGTCATTAATTCCCCAGGTGCCCAGAAATGTTGCAGTGACAAGTTGAAATTATTGTATCTAATATATGATAAATAATTAACTGGCAATAATTCTGACTCATCATTGCAGGGATTTTTAAGCAAACATGACAAATTTGCTGGTAACATCTTCTCAGCTATGAACATTTGCTGGTTTCCTGGTTTCAAACTCACTTTGATGTCACTTTGTTGACAGTGTGCATTAGACTGTACAGATGTTTATTATGTGTCCAAGCTGTGTAGGTCTTTGTTTATTAATTAAAACTAATAGGAACCAAATACAAACAGAGGAAGCAGCTGTTCAAAGCCTATTCGTGCCCTCCAGTCCAGCAGATGGCAGTGGTACATCTTTGACTTTGCCTTCCTTATTTCATGTCTGTAGCTTTAAACATCATGCAGCTGGCTGGAGAGAATACTTCCTGTTATCCGTTCATTGAGATACATTTGACATGAAAGAAAGGGTAAAGGATAGCATTTACATTTTTTTAAATATCCGAGACAGTCTTATTACGTAGTCAAAGCCTTAGATTTCAGTTTTGTTGGCTTTTGTGTTACATGCCATTGTAAGATCTCTGAATGTGTGATAAGGAAGGAAACAGCAGAGATATAGTCTGTTTTTGAAGTCTGGATGCACAAGCTTGATCATTAAGTAATAAGGTAAGTGACACATAAAAAAGTCATGAGCATCAACAGTAACAATGTTATCTGCTTAACAGACGTAGAGAAGAACTGACACCTTGCTTGCTTTTCACCCTGATTCAGCATTGAACTGGACAATGAAACAAGAGTACCAGGATCTTGTCCTGCAGGCGTGTGGTGCCTCATCTCTGCGTGTTGGTGCAAAGATCCAGAGCCTGTGGAGTGATTATGGGGAGATAGTCAGACTGCACCTGGAGGGCTGCGACCGACCCTCTGTTGTTGTCAAACATGTCAAATTTCCAGAAGAGGCAGAGCACCCTGGCGGTTGGAACACAGATCGCTCCCACAGGCGTAAAGTGAGATCTTATCAGGTGGAGACACACTGGTACCAGAACTATTCCACCAATCAGAGCTGCCGCATCCCTGCCTGCCTGGCTGCCTGTTCCTATGGAGATGAGATGCTCATTGTGCTGGAGGATCTGGATGTGGCCGGTTACGATCAGAGAAGGTAAAGTCGTAATCTTTAACTCATGAGATGTGATGAATAAGAGAATTGAAAAAATCATTCTGAATAAATAAGGTTGGTTGTTTTTTTCTGTAGGACTAGTGTGAAGGATAGGGAGATAAGGACTTGCATCAGCTGGCTTGCCCACTTCCATGCTCTGTTCCTGGGTGTGACACCAGAGGGCCTGTGGCCTGTTGGTACTTACTGGCACCTGGAGACCCGGCCAGATGAGCTGGAGGCCATGGATGATGCAGATCTAAAAGCAGCAGCTGGTGACATTGACAGGATGCTCAACGAATGCTGCTTTAAGACCATCGTGCATGGAGACGCCAAGTTAGCCAACTTCTGTTTTTCCCGGACTGATCAGGATGTGGCAGCTGTAGACTTTCAGTATGTCGGCGGGGGCTGTGGGATGAAAGATGTTGTGTATTTTCTAGACAGCTGCATGGAGGAGAAGGAGTGTGAAAAGAGGGTTCCTGGCCTACTGGACTACTATTTCACAGAATTAAAATTATCTGTGAAAAAAGATGTGGACTTTGCCGCCCTAGAGAAAGAGTGGAGGGAGATGTTTGCATTTGCCTGGACAGACTTCCATCGTTTTCTGCTGGGATGGATGCCTGGACACTGGAAAATCAATCGCTACTCTAAACAACTGACTAAGGAGGTTCTGCACAAACTGAAACTGAAATCAGAACCAAAAACTTCTAACTTCAGACAACTAGAGAAGTGAGTGTATGGCTGAAAGGTGGTCCACTTGAACCTGCATGTGTATATGGAAAAATGACTTGCCCACAAACACTCAGTTAAATCCTTTCCTCAGCAGTGTACAGTGTACAGTGAAGCATGCTTACATATCAAACCATTCCTGAATAAATAAAGGTTTTTGAAAATGCCTGGGCTTTTCTTTTTATTTGATTTTGATTTGATTT